ATCAAACAAGCACTGCAAAATATACTAAAGGGATTGTTTTAATTTGAAAAAAAAAAACAAGTCTATGAATACCCAGTTGCTTTCACAGTCACCAATACTTGATATTACCGATATTTTTAATATGTATTAATCCGATTGTGACAATGATGTGTTATTTTAATTATTCCTTTATTATTTGTTGAAACTACAGCTGTTTTTGTATATTTCTTGCCCATTACTATTATGTTTACAAAGCTTTAAATTACTCTTTGGTATTCTTTTTCCAGTTTTTGATTAAATGTTTGTAGAATTTCTTCCTTAAAAAAATAAACAAACCATTAACCCTATTTTAGATATGTTGCAAATATTTTCCTATTCTATTACTCATCACTTAACTATTTTATATGTATATTACTGTACAACCTTAAATGTATAATATAATCATATTCTCAATATTTTACGTTATAGCTTCTGGGATTGAATATTTTACTACAGGGTAAGAAAGATATAAATTCGTATTTTCTTCTAAAACTCCTTAGGTTCTACGTATTGATTTTTAACTCACCTGAATATTTCCTGTATAATGTGTGGAATAGGGTTCCATAATTGTTTTATTTCAAGTAATAGTGGTCAATGCACCTTATTTGTTGAATAAGACTTATTTTACCCAGTGATCAGATATATCGACTTAATCATATATTACAGTGTTAGATACATACGTTTGTCTCTAGGATGCTCATTTTATATCACTGATCTAATTGATTATTTCTGTGCTGGTGTCATGTTGTTTTAATTGCTGAAACTTTACAATGGTTTTAATTTTTTAATATTTTATAATTAACTGACATTCAAAAAAGGGATAAAATCAATCTACATTTAAGAAAGAAAAAAGTGAAATAGAGAGAGTGATGGAACTTCTACCTTTTGCAATAACATGGATGGAACTGAAGAATATTAAGCTAAGTGAAATAAGCCAGTTGATTAAAGACAAATTCCACATGATCTCACCTATAAGTGGAATCTATTCAACAAAACAAACTGACAAACAAAGTAAACCACAGTCATGGAAACATGGAGCAGACTGAAAGTAACCAGAGGGGATAGGGAAAGAGGACAATGGTGGAAAGAAGGGAAAGGGACTAGACAAAGAACATGTATGAATGACCCAAGGACATGGACAATAGAGTGGGAATTGACTGTGGAAGTGCGGAGGTGGTGTTGGGATGGGTGGAGGGAGGTAAAGGGGGACAGATACAGATAATTGTAATAGAATAAACATGATTTATAAAATAAAATAAAATAAAATAAAATAAAATGAATATCTAAGGAATACAATTTTGGTTACCCCCCCCCCAAAAAAAAGAAAGAAAATTGGAATACTTTTGATGCGGTTGGTGCCAGAGAAGCCTTGCAGCTGCACAATCAGCATCACCCAGGGCTGTGGTCAAGGCCATATCTTGTACAAGCAGCACTAGGAATGCTGGTGTTTGCAATATACTGGCAAACAAACCATCAGAATGTGAATACTTTTTATCAGTGGTTTAGGACATTTTACGGTAAATCAATTTTGTGCTTAACCAGAGTATTTAAAGTTATACTTATGCAATCCATGATACTCCTGTCCATAAATATCTAGATGTTTTTTAAGGTGATCTAATCTGCCTCATTCATGCCAGTACTCCGTGGGAAAGTGTAAACCCCTATGGCGAGTATCACCCCATGAAACATGAAAATCAGAAACACTTCTGTCATGTGACTCAAACTAAGTCCATCGCCCTCCCCTGAGCCAGTTCCAAAGTCCCTCCCAGATTCTTGGATAATTATCCAGCAGCATCCACTCCTGGAAGCAGAGCATGTTCTAGACCCTATCCTGCTGTAACCAATCAGCATGGACAATGGATGTCGACCAATATCTGACAAGATTTTTTTTTAAACATACAATAAAGAACCCATTGAAATAGTGATGAAGGGGTATTTATTAAAATTGCAAATACATCTCTCATAAAATCAACACAAATTACATTAAGGGTATTAAAAGACAAGCCTGCACAGAGAATAGTTTCCAGATCATAAGTCTGAAGGAAGAATGAGCCCATTATAAATTAACAATGTTAAGTGTTGTGAGGGAGGACCCAGTACCCTCTGTCGACAGTGACCATCCCCAGAAACGACCAAGAGAGGCTGAGAATGAGGGTGTCTTCTCAGGATAAAAGTAAGTTCCTTTTTCGGGAAGGAAACCTATGTTGGGAATTCTTCTCATTTCTCTCCCTGTGAACCCCAGCCTCACTGACAACACTAGACTGAGAATACAGCTCAGTTAAACCATGACCATGAACATTTCAACATATAAAGTGTTCTCAGTGGTACACAAGCATAATGAGCTTAGAGGCATGAGTGTGTATAAAGGAAGAGATGGCAATGGGAGCCGTAGACACAATCAGAATTTTACAAAAATAAAATGTTGTGACTCTATAGCCTGTGCTTCGGGTGAAGTTACTCAGATAAAAAATAATGTCACAAATAAATAAAAAGGGATGGTGATAGTGGATTGTTTTAGTTTTAAATATTTTACACCATGGTAGGCATTATTTCCACATAAAATTACAATGACAAAAATTTGGCAATTATAGACATTGTTAAGCGTTGGTTTGCAGAAACTCTCTGAATAAGTGGTCATTCCTATTGAATCCATATGGAATGTGCATGAGAATTTCATAGTGTCACCAACATCTAGATGTTTAGTATTTCTTATTAGGCCTAAAAATGTGAGCAATACTGTTAATCTCATTCCAAATGTGTCTCATAAACCAGGTGATCCCTTGTCTCTGACACACATGGTGAGTTCAAGAGGCGAGGCATCCCCACAAAGGTCCCAGACTGACCAGCATGACCCACACATGTCTCTTCCCACTTACACTTTAATGGCTGTCTCACAGGCAATTTCTCTTCCACCTCCATGGTAAATCCTCCCCTGTAATTCCGAGGATCCCAGTTCTCTCCTCACATGGGGCTGAGGTCTCTGAGGGAAGGCAGAACTGTGCTGTAGAAGATGAGGCTGCTGGGTCTACTCCTGTTCCTGGTGACAGCCGTGAAGGGCCAGTGTCCCAGATGTCAGATGTGTGTGTATGCAGTGGTGGTGGTGACTGCACACGACTGACAAGGACTGAGGCCCTTGTCCTCTGGTGCCCGGTCCCCAGTGCACGTGCAGGGGTCAGACTCTGCACTAAAGAAGACCTCACAGGCCCTCTTCCTCACCTGCACTGCCCCAGAATTCTCTTTAAGCAGCTATCATGTGCACTGGACCCACAGTTCCCAGAGAAAAGACTGCAGTGGGTCAGTGCTATATGGAGTGTTGGAAACAGTATTTACAGCCCAACACTGAAATTCTGACTCAGTATCACCAGGGAAACCTACAAAAATCAAGTCTATATAACACTCAGCAGTCTGAGAGCTGAGGATATAGAAGACATGGCCTTGTCATACTGTGTGAGACATACAGTGACAGGAGGAGAGTCTGAGCCCAGACACAGTCCCTCCCTCAGGAGGGATTGTGACCACTGTGGGCCCTTCAGCATCCCTGGACACAAGGAGCCCCCAGCAGCAGGTACAGCTAAAGCTTTGGGATGGTTTCATGTGTGGTTTCCTCTGTTTGAAATAGTTTCCTTAAGGGAACCTCTCTGGAATCCTGATTGTGTGCTCACCTTTGAATCTCTGAGTTAGATATGTCTGTTGTAAAGAAGAAAATATTCTGAGATCAGAAAGCAGAGAAACTGCTGGAGGAAACAGTGGGGCCCAGCCTCAATCAGCTCAGTATCCAAGGCAGCCAGCAGCAGGACATGGACACTATAGGCAGCTGGCAACAGAGGCACATGAACAAAAAGCAAGAGGAGGAAGTTCCCTGGTGGTGATGGTCAGTAACTTGGCATCATGGCCAAGCACCAATTGTAGGTGACACTACAAAGAGGCAGAGAGACCCACAACAGCATCATGTGGATGTCCAGGCTTAGAACAAACACACACACACCCAGGGGATATAGAGTATTTATCATGCTGATGATGAAATCAATGGGAATAATAGAAAAGAACCTACAGCAAGTCATAACTTTATTGTAAGTTATGATAGCAGTCCCCAGTTGGCTTTCTGGAGTTTGAAACATCAGAAAATACTACTAGATCAAGGTTCTCATTGGGAGTCTCTAATAAACCTACAAGATGCTCTGGATTTCCCCAATAAAGATGAAGTATGTGAGCATAGTTCTGGATTCAGGCATGTCCCCTGCCTGTTGCCCTCTGCCCCATGCCCTTGCTGTAGACTCCATGCCATTTGTGTTATTTCTTTTTTATTCTAAAATTCCAGTTGAAATTCTATATAACATAAGAGGAGCTTCTGCCCTACAGTGTGTGGGCTGACATTTACACATCTTGTGATGTGACTGCCTATTTCCATTTCCCACCTGGCAACATGCATAGTTATTACAATACTATTGACTTTCTACACTGTAATGTGTCTAAATCACTGAGCACAGAGGGCCCCAGCCAGGGCAATGGAACAGAAGTTCTTTATTTTTCAATATGTTTACATGAAAATTTACATCGAATTTTTTCTTACCAAATTATAATTATCACCTCTGGAAAGGATGTGCCTCCTTCATGTGTTTCCTTGGACTTGGAAGCTGTTTGGGCATAATGTTAGTCTGTTTTAATGTCCTCTTGAATAATCTCTGGAATAAAATATCATGATCCCTCATCCAGTCTGCTTTTAAGTGTTATCACAGAAAAAAGGGCTGTCAATTTACATGATTTGGAGTTGACTCATAATCCAACTACTCTCCCATACATGAGTTATGCCATCAAGTCTCAGAGAAGAAATGTGCTCGGGAGACAGAAGCACAGTGGCTTCAGTCTCTCCTCACTTATGAGAATAGAGTCCCCCACATGCAAATTTCCTTCTCAGCTCTAGGTTAAATCTTCCCCTGGGCTGTGCGGGCTCACAGATCTCTCCTCACAAAGAGCTGAATCTCTGGAGAAGGCAGACCTTTGTGTAGAAGATGACACTGCTGGTTCTCCTCCTGTGCCTGGTGACAGCCCCCCAGGGTGAGTGTCTCAGAAGTCAGACATGGGTCTATGGTATGGTGGTGAATTAAAGAGACTGACAGGGACTGGTGTTCTTTGTTCCCAGGTGTCTGGTCCCAGGTGCAGCTGCAGGAGACGGGTCCAGGAACAGTGAAGCCCTCACAGACCCTCTCCCTCACCTGCACTGTCTCTGGTTACTCCATCACTACTGATTACTACTGGAGCTGGATCCGCCAGCCCCCTGGAAAGGGGCTGGAGTGGATCGGGAGCATAAGTTATACTGGAAGCACTTACTACAGCACATCCCTGAAAAGCCGGGCCACCATCACCAGGGACACGTCCAAGAACCAGTTCTCCCTGTAGCTGAGCTCCGTGAGCACCAAGGACACAGCTGTGTATTACTGTGCAAGAGGCACAGCGAGGGGGAGTCATCAAGAGCCCAGACACAAACCTCCTTTCAGGAAACAGGAAGACAGGGCTGCAGGGGTCTCTCAGGTCATGAGAGGAAGCCGGGGAAACCTACAGTGTCACTGGGCCACAGACTATGACATCCCAGGACCAATTTCTGACTCTTCTAGTCCTGCGTGAGCCACCTGCTTCTGCTCCTATGGAGACACTGTTCCAGTGTCCACTGTGTTACTATCCTCAAGTATTCAGGTACTGAGCTCTGAGAATGGGGACCTGCACCCTGTAGGTCAGACAGATCCCCCACCCCAAAATCAGGTCAGTATTGGATAAACTGAGTGGGCAGGTGCACCCTGGGTCTGAACCTGTTCAGGGCAAGCCAGGACCTTCTCACCATGGCATATGCCAGTTCCTGGTGCTGGGTGATCAGGAAACAAAAAGAGTGAGCTTTCTCCAGTCCTCATATCAACCGCATTTGCTTTTGTTCTGTCATGAAATTAGGCCCCCCATTTGTTTGGATGAGAGTCCGGATCCTGACCATATGCTAGGAACTGGAGAGAACAAGGACCTCAGGTCATTACCATGGACATTTTCAGTGTACGTGTGCTTGTAATTTATTGAGCAGTCCAATAGCATGGGCATTAGGGACATGAGCAGAGATATTCACATGGGACCTGCAAGCAACAAATCTGAGGACATCAGTGTCTCCCAAAGCCACTGAGAGCTCCTGGAATCAGGGATGTAAGACGAGTCAGTGTATCTGGAAGCTCCAGCAAAGGGGCTCCTGGCAGAATCACTGACCTTAACTGAGGATATTTCTCCTAATCTGAGTGTATAAACACATGGTTTCTCTGAGGGAGCATCCTGAATTAAGGGCGCAGTTTCCACTTCTGGACAACAGACACTGAGTAGTCCGTGCCCTGTCAGTCCAGACAGGACCCTCCCTTGCAGGACAGGGTTTGGGCAGCAGGTGGCATGAAGGGCCCACAATCTCAGGGTATCTGATTCAGGAGCAGGTGGAGAGGGAACTGGAGAGGGAGTTCATCTGAGTGTCTGAGTCTTCCTTTTCATAACTACATAATATATTTATGAATATAAATATATATTGTAGTTATGTGTATGTGTCTCTATATATTTATATATACTATATAATATATACTATATAATATATAAAGGGTTGGACATGATGTGACTCTAAATATATAATCCTTTCAGAGCATTTACCAAACTAAAAAAGACAAAGGAAGCAGAGTCAGTGGGATTATTTCTGAGGCTTTATTATATGTGATTGTTAAGGAGCTGGAGACCCTTATCCAAGTAATGAACCCTGCAGCTGTTACAGCCCAGGACTGGTCCAGTGGTCTCTGTGTCACTCAAAAGTGGGTTCTCAATGATGAGCTTGTACTGTGGGGGCTCGCTTGTGTATGGCAAGAACTGTGTCTGCACAGAGCTCAGAGTCCTGGCAGGGGACACATATCAGGTAGCAATGAACCAGACTTGAACCCTGATCATCCTTTTGATCATGTTTCCTGACTCCTCTACCATCTCACGAATGGAGCATGATGATAAGGTATTAAGCATTTTCCTCATGACTATGCAGATGAGAAGAGGTGGAGTAGACCAACTATGGGTCTGTTAGTGCCCTGAGAGCATCACCCATGGCCACCCTCTCCCCTGCAGAAATTCTGCCAGCACAGCCTCTCACCAAGACTAGAGCATCTTAGAAACCCCTCTTGCTGGCGGCAGTGGCTACAGGTAAGGGACTTCCTAGCTCCTGGGATGAGGACAACATCAGGGACAGTGAAGAGGAATTTCGACCCAAACTGCACCCTCTCCACATGTGTCCTCTCCCAGGTGCCGCTGGTGCAGGCAGGGGCTGAGGGGTGTTCCTGTGTGAGACAGTGAGGGGAGGCCAGTGTGAGCCCAGACACAAGCCTCCCTGCAAGAGGATCTCGACCACCAGGGGGCGCTCAGCCTTTCTGGACATAAGGACCATCCAAAGTTCTGATGTGGTTGATGGTTTGGGCTGGTTTCCTGTCTGGTTTCCTCTTGCTGTAACAGTTTCCCTCAGGGAAACTCTCTGGATTCCTGATTCCGGGTTCAAGTCTGAAGTCTCAGAGTTATAAATGTCTGTTGTGATGGGAGACATCATTCTTATGTGGACAAAAGTCATATTCTCAGACACTCTTGTGCCCAGTTCTAAGGTAAAACCTAACTTTTTTCCCCACATCAGCTGGATCTCACCACAGGCTCTGCTCAACCCAATAGGGCAGCCCAGCCCTACACAGCTCAGTGTCCCAGTCAGTCTGTGGCAGACTCCTGCCTGCTGCAAAGCAGGTACCAGAGGTATAGGGGCCCAAATCCTGGGAACAAGGACTCCTGGTGGCAGTCATTTACTTGGCATATTGCTCCCAGCACAGAGCAGAGGTGGTACAACACAGGACAGAGGGACCCTCGGCAGCTGGGTGTGGATGCCCAGGCTAACAACAAACACACAGACCAAGGGAACAAGGGACGTTCATCATGCACAGAGTTGAACTCTCTGGGAAGAACAGGAAAGACCCTATGGCAAGTCAGGTTATTAGAGAAAGTCCTAGTTTGCAGCCCCCAGTTTGTTTCCTGAGGTTTGAACCACCAGTGACTAACACTAGGTCTTGGTTATCAATGGGAGTCACTAATAAACTTACAGGAAGCTCTCAATTTCCCTGATAAAAATGAAACGTGTGAACACAGTCCTGGACTCAGCCATGTCTCCCGCCTGCCACTCTCTGCCCCACATCCTTGCCTTAGACTCTCTGGTATTTGGGTAAATTTCATTTTTTCTTTTTCAATCCCAGTTAACATTCTATATTATTTAATAGGAGCTTCTGGTCTACAGAACAGTAGTCATACTTTTATACACTATGTTTTCATATTCTATTTTTTATTGTTTTTCAAGTACAGTTTCCTCCATCTTCCCACCACCACTTCCCCCCTGAACCAAAAACACCTCCACCCTCAATCCTTCTCCCCTTTGGCGTTGTATGCGGGTCTTTATACACGTTCTTTGATTACCCTTCCCCCTTTATTTCCAGACTAATTTACTTCCCCTCTCCCCACAATATGTTGTTTATTTCAATGTCTCTGATTATATTTAGTTTGTTTTGTTGATTAAGTTCCTATTATAGGGGAGTCCATACATGATTTGTCTTTCATCATCTGGCTTATTTCACTTAGCATAAAACTCTCCAATTCCATCTGTGCTGAGGCAAAGTGTAGGGGTTCCATCTTTCTGCTTCATAGTATTCCATTGTGTAAATGCACCACAGTTTTTTAATCACATAACTGTACTCCAGGAAATCAAACAGTCCAATTAAAAATGAGCAAAGGAGGAGAGAAAGAAGGCAGAGGAGTGAATGGGAGGCACACTGGCCTCCTCCTCCGAAGACCAAACTGGAATTGCAACTAAACAATGGAGTAATCACCTGGAAAACAATGGAACTATAGTGGGAGAGGAGCCTTGGAGTCACAGACAGAGAGTGGATTCAACTCTCACACATCTCAATGGGTGAGAAGTGTGGTGGAGGCTCAAGAGGGTGGGCTGGGTGCCCGTGGGCACTAGTACCAGAGGGACACTGATACGGCCAGTTAGCGTCCCCCGAGAAGAACAGGGTCTGAATTATAAACAGGGACCTCTAAACTACAGCAGCTAAAACCAGAAAAATACAGACCAAACACAACCCTGAAAAGCTTAGAGGCGCTCTCTGCCAGAGACAGGTGGCTGGGGACGCAAAGAGACATTTAAAGGGGCAATGCAAAAATTACAGTGGCAGCCACCCTCCTTGATCTCTGGGTAGAAGCAGCAGCAAGGTGGGCTGGTGCCTGGGAAAAAACTGGTGAGGAAAACTTTGTGAAGAGAACTGAGATGGTGGCCGGTGGGGCCCCGGTGATAATGCATCTCCCACTCTGCAGCTACCATCTCGCTCAGACATAATGGAATCAATTAACCTGCCTTTTGTTCGCTCTGCACACAGCTTGTGTGTGTGGGAGCAGGGGGGCTAAGTGCATACTGGCTGGGAGAGCCCTAAGGAAAGACTGGAGATGGAGGCATTGGGGAAAGAATGAGAGGAGGAACCGGGGAGTCCCGACTCCCTCCCCGTTCTGTAGTCTCAATTCTGGGCAGGCAAGGCATGCCCCCAAAGAGGCAGAAGCGGGGCATGCATGAACCCAACTGCCCATAACTTAAACGCAGTACACTCAGGTGGTGGATCCTTGGCCGAAGGGGTTACAGAGCTGCCCAGAGACCCCTGAGGAAACACTGGAGTAAGAGGTGTTGGGGAAAGAACAGGAGGGAAGGGGAGAGAGAAAGATGGCGGAGGAGTGAAAGGGAGTCACGCTGACCTCCTCCCAAAACCAAACTGGAATTGCAACTAAATAATGGAGTAATCACCTGGAAAGCAGTGGAGCGATAGTGGGAGAGGAGCCTTGGTGCCGCGGACAGTGGATTCGACTCTCACACATCCCAACCGGTGAGAATTGCGGTGGAGGCTCGAGAGGGTGGGCTGGGTGCGCACGGGCACTGGCACCAGAGGGACATTGAAACGGCCAGTTAGCGTCCCCCCGAGAAGAACAGGGTCTGAATCATAAACAGGAACCCCTAAACTACAGCAGCTAAAGCCAAGAAAATACAGACAAAACGCAAAACCAAAAAGCTTAGGGGTGCTCTCTGCCAGAGACAGGTGGCTGGGGATGCAAAAAGACATTTAAAGGGCAAACGCAAAAGTTGCAGCAGCAGCCACCCTCCTTGATCGCTGGGTACAGGTGGCAGCAGGGTGGGCTGGTGCCTGGGAAAAGACTGGTGAGGAAAACTTTGTGAAGAGAACTGACACGGCGGCCGGTGGAGCCCGGGCGATAATGCACTTCCCACTCTGCAGCTACCATCTCGCTCAGGCATAAGGGAATCAACTAACCTGCCTTTT